CAGACGGCAGCCAGTCCGGGCCCAGCAGGCTGCCTAATGAGCCACACACATTTTTCACCCCATATTTTTCCAATAAAAAAGCAGTTAGACACCAACCGCAGCCTCGTGGAGAGGCCATCTGGCTGCCTGGCTCCCGAGCTTCTGGCAGCACACGCTGCCTTTCCCGCCGGTGGCGGGGCGCCCAGAGCAGGGATGGCAGGACAGGTGGGCGGGGTGTGGGGGGCCTCAGGGCAGGGCCTGGTCCATCTGGAGGGTGGGGGCGGAGAGGTTTTCCTGTCTGTCTGTCTGCATGCCAGCCTCCAGGGCTGCTGCCGGCTGGAGGGGACCTTGCTGGTTGGTTTGTCTGTCTGTCTGTGTCTTGAGGCAGTGTTCCCAGTGCGTCTGTGCCCCGAGCCTGCAGCAGGGCACAGGCTGGTGGGCGAGGGGTGGGTGGGTCACAGGAGTCCAGGGGAGCAGCAGCCCGGTGCAGGTGCATACACGTCTGACCTCAGACCCTGGTGGGTCTGGGAGGAGCCAAGTGGCGAAAGGGACAGACCTTGGGTCTTGTTGCTGCTCTGTCTAGGAGGAGATCTCCCTGGGGTGCTCTCCCCAGCACCCAGCACACGCAGGAGTCAGTGCTGACAGGCCCGTGGCCCTGGCCCTCTCCTGCCCGACCTGCACATGCAGCTGCCTCTCACCCCTGAACCTGCCCTCCCAGAGCGGCCCAGGTGTCTTCTGACCAGCTGTTTCTGGTCTGCTGCTGCCAAGGAATGCAAGTCAGGCTTGTTGTGACTCCGTGTAGGGCATGCGTTCCTGACGGCCCAGGGAGCTGCTCGCGGCCTGTCCTCTAGATACTGGCTCTGGGTGAGGCCGGCAGCTGCAAGTGAGTGCCATGTGCCCCTTCTGTGCTCCTGAAGGCTCCGGAAGTCAGCCTGGAGGCCCTGTGGGGACACTCGGTCTTCTTCCCATGATGAGTTCCTCCCAGCCTGGTGAAAGGCCTCACCTGGCTGTGCGCCTGGAGAGAGGAAGTCGAGGTGCCGCAGAGAGCAGAGGCCCTTCTCTGCTCCCGGAGGGGGCCCTGCCTCTGGCAGGTCAGCCTCACGGGGTGGGGGACGAGGAGGGACGGTGACTCAGGCCTACCCTGCCTCTCTGACTTGCGCCTGCTTTTTTTTTCTTCTTTTTCTTCTCCCCAAAGCCCCCCAGTACCTAGTTGTATATGGTAGTTGTGAGTGCCTCTAGTTGTGGCATGTGGGACACCATCTCAGCGTGGCCTGATGAGCAGTGCTGTGTCCGTGCCCAGGATCTCAACCTGCGAAACCCTGGCTGCTGACGCAGAGTGTGCGAACTTAACCACTCGGCCACGGGGCCGGACTCTGGTCCTGCTTCTTGAGGGGCCTGAGGAAGCTACTCATCGCCAGAAACCCAGCTTGGCTGAGGGAAGGCAGCTGGCACTCAGGTCTCTCTTGCCATTCAAACTCTTGCTATTTGTCACCCCAAACACCAGAACCAGACAGCAGTGAGTGAGGGGCGCCCCTTGCCAGGGAGGACACTGAGGGGTTTGGACTGCAAGTGATAGCCGCAGTGCATAGTTACTGTCCCTGTGCAGCCAAGGACTGAGCATTGGGGAGCACTGCCAGGGCAAGGCTGTATGGCAGGGACAGCCCGGGATGGTGGCTCCCCACTGGACTTGGAACAAAACCTGAACTTCTTGCTGTGATTTATGTGATGCAGCACTTCTGAACTCATCTTCTCTTTCCCTCCCACACTCTGCTCCAGCCTCAGTGGATGTTTTGCACCAACACTGTCCCTACCTCACCATGTAGGAGGTGATCAGTCTGTTTGTATACTCAATGTGCAGAAAGGTAGAATGCAGATGAAATGGCAGGTTCTATAGCTGCCTCTGTGGACCAAGAGGTAACTGTGAGGATGGAAGCCATATGCCAAGGATGGCCAAGCAGAAAGACAGAGCAGCCTGATGATCATGGACTGGCCAAGTGCAGTTCCTAATGATATAGGGCCTATGTGGTGGATAACTGGGGTCTGTACCATGAAAGCCAGGATGGAGTTGGGAGGTTATCATGTAGGCAATAGGGGTCTCTGCATCTTTCTATCGAGAGCAGAGATGTGAGCAGATGAGCAAGGAGACTGTGCGGTGCCTGGATGAGAGATGGTGAGGGCAGTGGGGGGCTGGGCAGCTACAGCATCCAGACCTACAGTGCAGGCAGCCACCTGGGGCCTGGTGAGTCATGACAGCATGGCCAGTGCTGACACGCATGTCCCCATCCAGATGGCAGAAATACCAAGATGTGTCCACGCTGGCTGGTGAATTTCCCCGGGGCCCTGGAGGCAGCCCCTACCCCAGGTGGCCTCTCTGGGAAGCCCTGAGACGTCCCACAATCAGACGGCTGTGGGGAAGGCTCCGCCAGCATCTGCCCTTCCTCACCAGGGCCACAGCTGCCAAGGACCCAGCGGAAACCCAAAAGGGGTCTCCCAGCCAGCAGAGAAGTCAGCCCCAATGCAGCCCCAGCAGCCCCTCTCGGCAGATGGCTCTGGAACTCACACCCTGGCCTCCGGAAAACCCTCCAGAGCAGGGGCTCATCCCTTGGGCTGCATGAGGGGGTCACTGGAAAGACAAGGACCACCAGTTCCAGACTCCACCCAGACTGTCCAGAGCGAGTTCCCTGCCCACCTCTCCTGACCACACCTGCTCTCCCTTGTCCGTTGGCCAGGCCAGGCTAGGCAGGTCCTTGGGTACCGCTCAGGACCATCCTGAGGCTCCTGGGTGGAAGGCAGAGCCACAGCCTCCTGCCAGCCCTCGGTCGTGGCCTCTGGCCCAGCCCAGGGCATCAACAGCCACAGGCACAAGTGCCTCTCACTCTCAGTGCGCAGTCAGAGCTGCTGTGTGGGGTGGGGTCCTGGCCGCTGTGCCCTGGCATCGGCCCCTTCCAGCACCCCCAGGTCTCCACCCCCTGGAGTCCTTGCTCCTGCAGTGGGGGGGACCCAGGGGTGAAGGGAGAAATATGCCAGGATCAGCACTGACCAGGGGCCGGGCCGGGCTGGGCCCTCGAGGCCCTGGGGCACCGTCTGGTGCTGGAGAGCAGGAGGCAGTAGTTACGGGCAGGCACAACCTGGCAGCGGCTCCAGGACGTTCATACCCAGAACCAGCTTGAGGGAGTGGCTTTGTTTCTTCTGTACAAGACAGGCCTAGGGGACCCTGGAAGGAGCTGCCAGCAGCCTCAGGGCCTCAGCAACTCTCCCCACCAGACTCCCAGCCGCCCCGGCCCAGAGCAGCCCCTGGCTTGGGGAGCATTTGCTGCAAATTGGTTTTAAATTAAAGGAGGTGCCGAAGGTGACGTGCCAGCTCAGCAACTTCCCAGGGGCTGTAATCTAATCCATTAAAGAGACAGAGGGATGACAGCTCCTGCAGGCAGCTGGTCCCACTGTCCACGGCCGCTGCGGAGGCTGCGGGTGGTGTGGGGGCCACACAGGTGCCTGGGGGGGCCAGCCGTGTCCCTCAGTCCCCAACACTCCGCCCACTCACAGGATGGCTGAGGGGAGGGCACCCCAGGCCACAGACAGTGCCAGTCACTTCCCACTGCCCTGCCCTCTGGCCACCTTGGCCGGATGGTCCAGAGCATGGCAACGGCTTCTTATGCAGACCCACTCACCTTAGACAGCACATTGTGGGGCATCCACACCTGCTCCTCCCCCGGCTGCCTGGTGACTCCCCATTCCCTCCCGTCGCCCTCCCAGGCCCCTGGGATGACGTGCACTCTTGGCTGGTAGCCCAGCCCAGGCTGGTGCCCTCCACGTGGCTGGGCATCTCGACCCCCAGGCACCTCCGCAGACCTGTCCTGACCCTGTCACCCTGCTGGGTGGCCTCTGGGTCCTTTCCACACCTGCTCACGTGCTCAGCTGCTGAGCTGCACTTGAGCAGAAAGCCTGTGAGAGGGAGTGACTGCTCCGTCTGTCTACTGCATGGACAGCTCCTGCCCAATGCAGGCTGGGCCACACGCCACACACTCCTCCCAATGAAATTAAATTACTCCACTTCACAAAAACTTGCCTAAAAACCAGTTAGTGTGTAGCAGGCCCTCTGTCCACCTCTCGCAAAGTGCGCTTGTGCACACCATCCCTGGAGCCTGGATGCTCGTCTTCCGAGGGACCCCACCTCCGAGGAGGAGGGTCCCAGCCCTGCCGGCCCTCACCACCACCTAACACTCTTTTCACTCAGCCTGCCCGGGTTCCAGCTGTGTGACCTCAGGCAGCTTTCTTATCCTCTCTGTGCCTCAGTCTCCACGTCCACATTAGTAATTATAGTTCCTGGCCCACAGGGCTCTGGGACAAGCAGACAGGTGAGCGCTAGACTTGTGTGCCCGTCGGGTCTCACTCGTGCTGCTGCTTCTCTTGATCACTGCCCACCCCCACCAGTCAGAGCGACGCCCCCACTGTGTCCCCCACGGAGCTCAGCACAGACAAGGTGCCCCACAAACAGCTGCTGAGCTAAGAACTCTGGGTGGCCTCTCCCTGCTCCCTAAAGAACACACCATGGCCCCGCAGATGACAGGGCAAGGACCCTGAACCCCAAGGGCCAACGGCAGGAGCCGTGGGAAGGAGCCCAAGGAAGCAGCACGGTGGCTGTGGGAGGGCCTGGCGGTTCCCGCGCTCAGCACTCCAGCTGCGCGAACCTGGCTCCGGACCTCACTGCTCCCAAAGACTGAGGGCGACGTGGCATCGGTGGGAGTCTCACTTTCTGGGGACAGCTGGGGCCCCAGCTGGAAACGCTGGGGCTGCCCTGGGCCAATGGTGCCCGAATCCCAGGGGCCCTGGACAGAGCTCCCTCTGGGGCCTTGAGTTGTGGGCCCAGGAGCCCTGGTGGTGCCCCAGCACCCATGTCTCTTGCACCTGGTCCTCAGCCGCGTGAGGCCGGGTCCCACACCGGAGAACCGTGACCTTCTTGCCAGTCTCCAGAGCCCCTGCTGTGGTCGGGTCAGCAGGAGGGGGTGAAGGGCGGGGCTTACCTTGTCGTCCCCGTCCTCGCTCTCGCTGTCGCACTGTGGGGAGAGAGAGAGAGGCTGAGTCAACACCCACAGCACTCCGCAGCCCACACGCAGGGGCTTCCCCCAAGGTCGCAGGTGGGCACGAGGTAGGTGAGACACAGTGGTGTGGGGGCTCCTCCAGCCTAGGGCAAGGTGTCCTCAGCCAGCCGGACCAGGGGCCTAGGTGGGATCTGGGGGCCAGGCAGCAGGGATGCCCAGGGGTGGGTCAGAGCTCCATCCAGGCCCTGGGGGATCCTGGGGAGGGCAAAGCAAAGGAGACAGAGGAGACAGAGGAGCACACTGGACAGACAGACGCACCCCCCTAGCGGATGCGGCCCAGAGTGAGCCAGGAAGCCCCACGCCTGAGCCAGCAGGGCCCCTCCTGGCCCAGGTAACACGTGGCGCAGCCTCACCCCGACCTGGGGTAAACCCACTGTTTACTGAAGCCACCTGACAGGCCTGTGGCCAAGGGCCCCGCCACCCCTGCGGATGCACCCGAGGCAGTGGCTCCGGTCAGCTCTGCAGGTTAAGGAAAGACCGATGATAGCGCAAACAAATCTGCTTCCTATTTCCAGTAAGCAGAGCGTTAACAAGAAAGATTGCTCTAGAAACCATGGCGCTTCTCCCCAGAATATAAGGAAACAATCCTTTCTTAGCAACAGCAATCACAAAACGTTCGTGTCAAATGAATTACACTGCTGAACACAAATCTCTCCGGGGTGTGCAGAGGGCGAGGGGCCCACTGCCGTGCGCAGTGCTGCTGATGTGGGTCCCCCCTCGACTAACGCAGATGACCGAGCCAGTGGCGCCGCCCTCCGTGACCCCGGCGAGACGGGGTCGCAGTCAGCAACAAGGTTCAGAGTGGTAGGGACACGCCTGCTTCCCCAGCCACCACTGCAGCCAGACAGTGACCTGGGGATGGCAGGGGCCCTGGGGATGGCAGGGACCCCTGGGGATGGTGATGGCAGGGACCCCTGGGGATGGCAGGGACCCCTGGGGTGGCGGGGACCCATGAGGGATGGTGGGGACCCGTGAGGGATGGCAGCGACCCCTGGGGATGGCAGGGACCCCTGGGGTGGTGGAGACCCATGAGGGATGGCGGGGACCCATGAGGGATGGCAGGGACCCGTGAGGGATGGTGGGGACCCATGAGGGATGGCAGCGACCCCTGGGGATGGCAGGGACCCCGTGGGAGGTGGCAGGGATCCCTGGCCTGGGACCCCTGGCTGCAGGGATGGGCATGTGGGGAGGATCCTCCTGAGGCTGAGAGGCTTCCCATCCCAGCAGTCCCATGGGCCCGTCTGCCCCCTAGCCTTGCACTGCCCACTGCAGGGCCCCGCCCAAGACCTGCAGGGTGGGTGTCCTTTCACAAATGGCAGAAGGGACATGTGGGCCCAGTCTCCTGGCCACACAGACAGATAAGAGGCCAGATCAGCCCCTCATGGTTGGCTCCACAGGGTGGGGAGAGTGCGGGGTGGCTGAAACCTGAGAGGCATAGTGGGAAGGTAAGGACAGAGTGTGGGAGATGATGCTGGCGAGGTGAGGGGGCCAGAATATGCCAGAACACGTGAAGTGTCATTGCTGGGACTGAACTTTGTCATGGGAGCCATGGCATGCTGGAAGAGGGAAAGTTAGGGATGTGGCCAGCCCTTCAAGATCATCTCTGTGCCAGGAGAGGAGTGGGGGACGGGGGTCATGGCCTGTAGGGAGGGGGGCCTGGAGGAGGAGGCCTGGAACCCCTGACTGTGCTGCTGGCACAGAAACAGTGGAGCCAACAGCAGAGCTGCCAGAGCCCCCAGTTGGGCCTCCTCCTGCTTGAGTAGCAGCTCTGAGCCCTTGAATTGGAAACTGCAATCCCATCAAACCATCAGGAGATGGCCTCGGGTGCAGCACGCCCGTCACTCGTCACTCAGGGCACCCAGGACCACCCCCAGGTCCAGCCCGGCTCCATCCCAGGCTCGGTTTCACATCTTTCCCCAGGGTTTTGGAGGTGTGGCGAGAGCTTAATGATCGGACATCAAGGAGGGGCAAGGGTGCTCTCCAGTGAGCGCACGGAGCCTACGATTAACCAAACAGCACACCGCTGTCAGGAGGCACAGGCTGCGTTGTAAATGAATTCACGTTATTAAGTCCTACTGAATTAATGTTTAACTGCAATAGAGTCGGGATTGAATGAGACAATTAATCAGGGCAAGGAGGGAAAAGAGCCACATCTGTCTTGTGAGAGCTGCCTGAGTGAGGTGACCTTCACGGGGTCAGGGTAGGCTGGGCAGCCCTGGGGAGCATCACCCCGGTGTGGGTGTGGGTCCAGGTAGGGAGTCACTGAGCAGAGCATAGACCCCAGGCCCCAAGGGGATGTGCTGGTATGGCGAGGAGGCCAAGACATAGGCTCTGGAACAGATCCCTGCTCTGATGCTGTGCTGCCGGCTGTGCCATACAGCCTTGGGCAAGTCCCTTGACCTTTCTGTGCCTCAGAAGTTTATGCTTCTGTAAAACAGAGACAACAGCCCATCTACAGGGTTGTTGTGTGGCTTAAATGAGGGAATACATGCAAAACACTAGGACAGTATTGGCTATGTACTCAGTATGATATACAGAATGATGGTATCTTTATCACCACCACCACCATTATCATCACCACCACCATCATCACCACCAGCACCATCAACATCATCACCATCACCACCATCATCATCATGGTCACCATCACCACTGTCACCACCAGCATGATCACCACCATCACCACCACCATCATCACCACCATCACCATCACCATCACCACCATCATCATCACCACCACCATCACCACTGTCACCACCAGCATGATCATCACCATCACCATCATCACCACCAGCACGATCAACATCATCACCATCACCACCATCACCATCATGGTCACCATCACCACTGTCACCACCAGCATGATCATCACCATCATCATCATCACCACCATCACCAACCATCACCACCACCATCATCACCATCACCATCATCACTACCATCACCATCATCTGCCCTAGCCCCTTCCTTCATATCACCTGACCAGCCCTTGGTCGAATCTCAGCCCTCCATAGGGTGTGGGAACAGACACCTCTCACCTGACAGTGTCCTGCTCCCTGAGGAGCACCTGCACAGGAGGTCTGGAGAACTTGGCCTCCATCACTAGGCCTCTTCCAGAAACCTGGGTAGCCACTTGCTTGGGGTAGGGGCTGCTCATCCTCCTCCACAATCAGGAGATACAAATCAACACGGTCGTCCAGCAGCAACAGAAACGTGCCTTTTTCTTCTCTCAGTGTGAACATTAATTACTGCTTCACAGTGGAGCTCAGAGGAAGGTCCACCTGTCTCCCATTTCTCAAACAAAGGCATGAAAAATTCATGGACAGGGAGACGTTGCCGCTGAGCTGCTGCTCCTATCAGATGTTCTAGCATTGGGGCCTGCCCCAGAGATGTCCATGGGGGTGGGGAGGAGAGGAGCAGAGAGGAGGGGGCACTGGGGAATTCAGGCGGCTCAAGTCCTCAGTGTGGGCAGTGTTCGCTGGCTGTGTTCTCACAGCTTATGTGTGCCATGCGTGCATGACCAGACATGTCGAGTCATGCTCTGAGGGCTCTCACACGTGTGCACCTGGGCATCCTGTCCAATGGGCACTCTACCCTAGGCATCCCACCAGGTCCCAATCTGTGTGCATGGCACCTGTGCACTCAGGTAACCTGCCACGGGGCCACATGTCCCCACATGTGTGGCCCAGGGGTGCTGGCTGTGCTGACAGTACATCGTGCTTGGGGCTCCTGTCTCTGTGGCCCTCAGCGGGTCTCAGTACACATGCTCCAGCTTGTTCAACATTGTGCTCATGGGAGCTGCCCTGGAAGAACTATGGGAGGGAAAAGAGGTGCCGCCGTCTGAGCACACAGCAACCGCCTTGCCCACCCATGGGGATCTGAAGGTGCGAGGCGCTCACCTCTGTTTCTGCTGCAAACGCTCCATCAGGAGGGAGAACACATGTCAACCAAGCGAGTCAGCTACAATAAGGAGGCACCGTGGGGGAGGCCTGGGGCGGGGGAGCAGCTGGAGGAGTCATGTTGAGAAGGCCATTTTTCATCTGTTTACGCCCGCCTCAGTCACGTAAATGGACGTGCAGTGGCCAGGGGGTTCAGCCAGGTTTCCCTTTCCCCTCGATAGGCAGAGCCTGGGCACAGTGAGGCTGGGGGCTGCCTACCCCAGGGAGGCGAGTGAACGCCCGCCTAGCCTCGCCCTCCCCTGGGGACTCTCGTGGGTGGGGGTGCTAGGAGCACGGAGCTGGGGCCTCGATCACCTCATCTGTGGAACAGAGAGGCTGTGGGATCAGTCAGGTGATCGCGTCTGCAGTGCTGGTTGGCACTGGTTCCCGCGAGCAACTGCTGCAAGAGCCAGTCACGCTGCACACGAGGGCGGCTGCGCTGCTCCAGGTGGCAGCCGTGGCCTCCGGTGCTCACTGGGTGCGGGTCCATCTCACAGATGAGAAGGCAGAGGCTCAGAGTGTAAAGGGACTTGCTTATGGCCATTGGGCCAGTGAGCAGGGTCTGGGACCTGAGTTCACTGTCCGCCTGCTCCAGACCCCAGCCGAGCCCAGACCCAGGGGTCTGGACTCTGCCGGGTGGCAGCCCTGGGACTATAGGGCTGGCAGGAGGGGGGCAGGAGAGGGAGCCTTTGACATCCTACTGGCACAGAGGCCCAGGAAGCCACAGCGGGGGCCTGGTGGGGGCTGACGCTGCATTTGTCACTACTGTTGCTTCTACACACTTCACTCAGTCCCTCCACAGACCCAACTGCTTACACAAGGGGAAATTGAGGCAGGATGGCTGGGAGCCCACCAAGGGCACTGCTGGAGAGCTGGTAAGTAGGCTAGAACCTGTGGTCTTAACTGGCCCATCTGAGTAGAGCCCCATACCGGTGATGCCCTCATGGCAGCTGAGACTGGACAGAGGCCCCAGTCCCACGCCCAAAGGGCCCTGGCCACCTTGGCCTGAGTCACAGC